TCAGATAATCTGTAATTGAATTCGTATGGTACTATCAAAGAAACAAAGGCACTGATGAGGATAAAGTAACAACGAACCCGCTGAAAGATGTCAGAGAAATTGTGTTAGAGAAACTGGCCATCTTCCCGTGAAGAGACGAAATGTCTCTTCACGGGAAGGGTACCAGAATCTTGGCAGAACAGAACATCATGTTAATTGATAAAGAAGAAGACGTCAATGACTGGAAAAATTACAGGCCGATCAGCTTACTGTCCGCTCTCTACAAACTATTTACAAAAATAATAGCTAATAGAATTGGTAAGACGGCGTTAAGATTTCAATCAACCAAAGGAACAAGCAGGATTTCGTACAGGCCACTCTACAATAGACCATATTATCAATAGACCATATTATACTATCAATCAGGTAATAGAAAAACGCTCAGAATACAACCAACCCCTATGCATAGCCTTCATAGATTACAAGACGGCATTTGACCCATTCGAGACATCAGCAGTAATGCAGGCACTACAGAATCAAAGCATCCAAGTACCCTACATAAGCATACTATAAGAAATCTAAAGTGTATCAACAGCCTCCATAGTTCTCCATGAAGAAAGGGACAGAGTCCCAATAATGAAGGGTGTAAGGCAGGGAGACACTATCTCTCCAGTGCTATTCACTGCATGTTTACAGGATGTTTTCAGAACCCTAGATTGAAAAGAGTTAGCAATAAGAATTAATGAGGTGTATCTTAGTAACCTGTTCACTTTAAAACACGGTCCCACAAGTGTCTGTTTATGCAAACAGCTTGCAACGAAACTGTCATAGCCTTATGAGAGCGAACGTCTGCACCTTGACTCACTGCGCTCGTGCGGCTGACACCATCCCTGCAGATACATGCACACATGGGCACAGAGGCATCTGCTTGTTTACATCATGGCCAACAGCACCGGTGCCCAGACGCCACTGAGTTGGAGAATAAAGACATTTTACGGCAGCCTTCTGTACTCCTGCCCTCGTTAAAGTGAAGGGTGCTTTTAAAAAAAGCAACGTGAATAGCGTGTTTCTATGAATGCGGGTCAAATTGAAAATTCCGAATGCCACCTTTTAAACTAGTCTCCGGGAAGAGTATACGATTGGTTCGACTGTCACAATGAATGCGTTTCTTGAACTCATTCAATTGCTTAAGTCATTCGATTCTAATGACACGATATATCGCTGTGTAGCAGCCGCATAATGTCATTATATGCGAATGCCATTTTCTTCGAATGACATTAAACTGTCCAGTGCGACAGGGGTATTAGTTGAAATCTAGAAGAAGAAATGGGCTTGGTCAGGGCATGTAGTGCATAGAGAAGATAACCGCTGTTCATTGAGGGTAACTGACTGGATTCCAAGATACTGCAAGTGCACAAGGGAGAGACAGAAGGTCAGAAGGGCTGATAATTAAGAAGCTTGCAGGTGTAACGTGGCAGCAGCAAGCACAGGACCAGGTTGATTGGTGGAACATGGGGGAGTCCTTTGCCTAGTAGTGGGCACAATCAAGCTGACAATGATTATAATGACGAGTATGATGACATTGCCCAGTAAATCAGCCCTAAGAATATCACCTATGTCAAAACATGACCGGAATCGAAGCTGCAGCCTTGGGTTCAATGTTTCAAGAAGCTCCGTCGTCGAAGTAATGATGTTTTCAACATGGCAAGGCTTGTATGCCTTCTTGGAAAGTGTACCAGACTGACGAAATAGATGTTTACATCTAGTAAATATATTTACCTTCCATGTATGATAGTTGACCTGGTTGATTGGAAAAACACAGGAGAAACTTCGCCCTGCAGTGAGCATGGTCAGGCTGCTGCTGCTGATGATGATGATAATGATGATGACGATGAATTCTTGTTTTTTCTACCATGTTCAGGACCCCTTCCACCAACTGCCAATCCACATCATCTGGGGCGTGCTTCCGGTAGACACGGGTGATTACCTCAACCCTTCCAACAAGGGTGCAGTGGTGTTCGACTCCGCAATTGACGTTGCGGAACCACCGCCACAAGAGTGGCTGCTGTCCTTCTGCAAGCGGCTGCGGGCGCAGAGCTTCCATCGCTCGGCACTGGGCGTTCTCTTCTCAGGCTGCTTTATCGAGACGCTCAAGTCCTGGATGGAGAGGCGCTGTGTTGATAGTTTCAAGCAGGTGAGTAAAGCAAATCTCTTTTGCAGCAAGGCTGTCTTTGTCTACTCTCTGCTGTCATTGTTTTTGTTGTCGTGGTAATAATATAATGATTGGTGTTTAACCCCCAAAACCACAATATGAGTGACGCAGTTGTGGAGGGTTCCAGGCATTTTGACCATCCAGTCTTCTTTAACGTGCACGTGTACCTAAGTACACAGGCCGCAAGCGTTTTTCGCTCTGTATTGAAAATGGGGTCGCTGCGACTGGGATTTGATCTCGTGATGTGCAGGTAAGCGGTCGAGTGCCATATCCACTAGACCACCGTGGCGGGTGTCGTCATCATTATAGTAGAAGTAGTAGCAGTAGTGATGGTAGTAGTAGCAGTGGTAGAGAAGTAATGTAGTAGTACTAGTAGCAGTAGTAGCAGCAGCAGCAGCAGTGGTAGTAGCAGTGGTAGAGTAGTAATGTAGTAGTAGTAGCAGTAGTAGTAGTAGCAGTAGTAATGTATTAGTAAGGTAGTAGTTTAAATAGTAGTAGCAGTAGTAATGTATTAGTTGTAGTAATGTAGTATAGTAGATGTAGTAGTAGCAGTAGCACTAGTAGTAGTAGGCATATGTCCGTGAACTCTCTCATGCTTCGACTCATTAAGACCCAGATTCAGCTGGGAGTCTGGGTTCGAATGAGTTAACCTAAGCTATATTTTTGTTAGTCTGGGTTCGAGGGATTTCACTCTGTACACTTAGCTGCGTACATAAAGGTAGGTGAGCACAAAAGAACCCCAGAGCGTCAGAGTTAATATAGACCCAACACTACAGTGTGCAACATAATCAAATTTACATTTCTGGCTTGTAAAACTTCGTCGATGAATGACACAACTTTATTGAACGTCCAGCAAGGTTTAACGCAACTATAGGCCTTTGGTCTCCCACAAGGGTATGTGAAGACCTTGCCTCAACGCCACCCCGTGGGCTCGCTAGACTGCCCACGTTTGAATGCCGAGGTCTGAGCTGCACAGAACAGTGGTGCACCTCGATGACAGGTTCTTTGGAGTGACTGCCAATTATTCTAGAGACTATACTACAACTCCACAACATGTGTTTGAGGGTTGCAGAAACGAAGTTTTCAAGAAACGTATTCACACAATAGTAAGTCGACTCCAATGTAGTTCGAGCCCATGAAAATCGCACTGCTAAACAAAAAAAAAAAACATTAGGCCTGCGTGTAAGGCGCAGCACACTCACAGTATTTCTAGAATATCGGCCTTTCAGAGCCTTTTCTAAACACTCATTGGGTAATTGCTGCAAGCATACTTGTTTAATACCCATTATGGCATTAATAATATATAATTTTGGGTAGTAGGTCGGCATTCGCTATACTATTTTCTATTTTTCGTCATTCTTCTGAGAAATGCGGTATCCGGTAAACACTTGCAACGAACTTTGTGCCACTTGTTCACGCAGTGGCTGAGAACGATAAAGAATTATGCCCGAAGTGGGTATGTGCCACAGTTAATAAATGAACAAGAACAAGCTTTTCTAATAGGTTGGAGCATTGGACGACCCACTCGTCCAATGCTCCAACCGCATTGTGCTCGAACCACTCATGCTTTATTAGTGGTATTAACGCGATTGCTCTCCCGACATCAAGCCTGCTTAAGGCAAGTTTGCCAACAATGACCAAGCACCAGAGTTACTCAGTAGTACAATACTGGGCTGGCATCTCTTGGACCTAGGTTCGAGCCCCACTGTGCCATTGGCGCTAGTTTTTTTTTTCTAATTTCGTGTGATGTGGTTATCTACAACGGCTGCGGCAGCAGACAACTACGGTGGCGCGTGACCAGAGTTGTGATCTCCTAACAGCTTTTGCTGTAAAAAAAGGGAAAGGGGAAGAGCATGGCACATATGATTTTAAAAAATTCATTTACGATGTGTCTGTAGGAAATAATTTTGCAGGTTGCAGGAAATCTAGCTTTAGAAGAATACGTCGAGATCATTTTCAAAGAGTCTTTACAACCGAAACTATAGTCTTTCACAACCTAAGAGTAAATATAGGCTCCACCCATGGGGCCTCGTTGCCCTTATTTTCCATGCTTCCAGGCTACAAAGGAGGAAGTAGCTTCTAAACAGTGGCCATAATTTTTACGCATACAACCATTACTTTAAAATACTTGATCGGTGTTGAAATACAGAACCCGAAACTTAATAAATAAACTTGAGAAGACGCGGGCTTCCACATCCGCTTAGCAATATATCTGTTGTTTAAATTGCACCCCCCACTGCGTTCATCTTGGAGTCCACGAATAAGCAATGCACATCTCTCGAACGCGATGTTTCTGCGCGGTATCTAAGGTTGTACTACAGTCGAGCCCGACTATATCGAACCCGTTTATATCAAATTATCCCGTATATCGAACAATTCCTAAACACGGTAAGTTTACATTGAGAATATATAGCAAAAGTTACAGTTTTATCGAACGAAAATAGTAACGACAACTGATATATCAAACTCCATGTGCCTCAAAAGTGCCTCAGCAAGTTGGCTTTCCCTCGCGGTGGCGGGGAAAACTGCCGGCGCCACCCTAGAAAAAGTAGGTTAGACCCGGTTGTGCACGGGCGAACACCCCCTCCAAGAAATGATCCTGGCCCGCTCGCAGCGCTTACAGCCAATCAGAGGCCGTCGTGCTTTCTCCGAGACGCGGAGGCGGTAGAAGTGAGCGCCATTTTTTTCTTTTTTTATGCTTGTGTGCCTGCTGCTGCCCATTCAGCGTGGTCTGTCGTGTTTCCTGTTGGTGCTCTGTGAACTGTATTGGCGCGCTGGCATCATGGCTTGCGCAGAGAGGCAAAATTTGCCGTTCGCCGCGAAACTCGAAATCATCAATCGGGTTGAGCGCGGTAAAAAGAAGTCTGACGTTGCCGCCACGTACAAAATTCCAAGGAGCATCTTAAGTACTATCCTGATGAACAAGGCAGACATCAGGGCCAAATCTGACAAATGCCCGTGGCGCCCGACGCGTGCGCGCTGCTGTGTACGAAGATGTTGAAGGGGCCGTTTACAAGTGGTTTGTGGACGTTCGGTGGCGAAACATCCCGGTGTTTGGCCCTATGATCGAGCAGAAAGCCAAGGACCTTGCTTTTCTGCTTGGCAGGAATGATTTCCGAGGCGGTTCAGGCTGCCTTCCGCGGTTCAAAGAACGGCACGACATTGTTGGCAAAGCTGTTACAGGTGAAAGCAAAGCGGCGGACCTGGACAGCGTAGAAAAATGGCTCGAGGAAAACTGGCGACATATCGCAGCAAGATATAGAGTCGAAGATATCTTTAATGCAGATGAAACCGCTCTATTTTGGCAAATGTTGCCAAACAAGACAGTGTCGTGGCGACAAGACAAGCGGCGGCAAGGCAAACAAAGCTCGTGTGTCCGTGCTGTTGGCAGCTAATTTAGACGGATCGAAAAAGCTTCGACCTCTGGTTATCGGGAAAAGCACGGCACTGCGTTGTTTTCGAAGTGCGCTGTCGCTTCCAGTTACCTACCGAGCAAACTCAAAAGCGTGGATGACCGGGGAGCGTTTCAGCAGATGGCTATCGCCGTAAAATGTTGATTTGGTTGGCGCAAATCGCAAGGTGTGCCTGCTCGTGGACAATTGTTCATCGCACCACTGCAGTACGACCTTCAGCAACATCTAGCTGCGTTTTTCGCCCCCTAACACTACGTCTGTACTGCAACCACTGGATCAAGGCGTTTTATGCGCAATGAAAGCCGGCTATCGGAAGCGCCTGGTGGAGAGGCTGCTGCAGAACCTTCGTGTCGGCAGGGAGCTTAAGATCGACTTGCTCGGAGCTATTTCTATGTTGAGTAGATCGTGGGCAGATATCAAGAACGAGAGGATCCAGAACTGCTTTAGGCATGCCGGCTTCCGCATGCCTGGTGGTGACACCCCAAATTCCGACAGCACTGAAGACACCGCAGGTGTTTCCGCCGAAGTTTGGAATGAGCTAGCAGAGTTCCCAGGTGCTATCGACGGATCGGCATTCGACGAGTTCGTCAGTGCGGACGATGATGTCCCCATCATGGGCCAATTACAGGATGAGGATTACATTGCAGACGCCGTGCCTACCACAAGCCAAAGCGACAGTAATATGGAAATCGACGACAGCCCATTGCCTACATCCTCTGAAGTGATTAGTGCACTTGCGTTAGTCCAGCGCTATTGCTTGAATGGAGAAGGTTGCTGCCTCAGCTGCTCCGACTCATTGGACAACGTGGAGGCGTGCGTGCTGTCGCAAGCAGCGAAGTCGTTGACACAGAAAAAAATTGGGGACTATTTTTTTCCACAGTAGGGCACGAAAGTAAGCCACCATATTAATAACGTACTTTTCTTCTAGTTTGATATGTGCCTTTGCGTCAAAACCTATACCGGGCCTATATCGAATTATGCCATATATCGAACTAATAAACGTTTTTGGCGAGTTCGATGTACCCGGGTTCGACTGTAAACAATGTCACATTTAACGTAGGGGTTAAATTTAAAAAAATGTTCTTTTGCGGTTTCACAAAATAAAACACGGGCAATAATCACATTTTGTTAAGTTGTATGCAATTTTTTTTACGAAACTTCCGCTGCCAAGTTTCTTCGTTCTCTTCTGTATCTATGGCAACTATGCCTCAATGCGAAGAATCGAGAAGCAATCTGAGATTCACTTCGCGAATTTCGAAATGCTGCTCTTTCTTGTTTGCTCAACAATAGTTTTAGTGGCATCGCTTTAGTGACAATCACAATCGATGTAACTGATCATGATTGATCGTGATCACTGTGTCAATAACGGTCGATGCAGTGGTATTACAAATTCGCGTCATTTCCCAGTTTGAAGAACCTCGCACGGCATTTTTCATGTAAGACCCTTGTACTTCTAGCGTGAGACATGCGATTACCCAATAAACACTTCACTCTGGCTCGTAATTATGAGCCGGTGGCGATAGATTTTTGTTAAAAGGACGCACCTGTGCCAATCGGCACACGACAAAGTATTTACACAAGATGGCCACAATTCGGTTTTTAATGCATACACCAATGCATATTCTTTCCACCTGGTTTGTTTCCTCTCGTACTGTGTGACACTGGCAGGTCCTCATGGTTTCTTTTTCTGACAGCTCGCCCGCACTTACAACACTCATAAGGGTGCACAACACAGCGCATATCGAAAACGATGATCAAGATTCTCGGGTTGTGACACCCAAGTAACACACTCACACACACACATTTGGCAACGCTGTTGCCGCACCTTTTGTGGGTGGTAAATCCCAGACGCGCACATTCGCCCGGAAATTTCTGGCCTTTTACGTTCCGTCTCTTTATACTCCGTCGTGTCTTATATATATATATATATATATATATTTGAGATATAACAGACAGTAATGCCAAGGAATGTACAGGGGAAGTTATTAAAATCAATGGAATGTAAATAAGAGAAAGAAAAGTGGATGAAAAAATTACCAACTGTGAGCAGGAATCGAACCTACGACATTCGAATTACGCGTTCGATGCTCTAACCACTGAGCTATCACAGCGGCCCTCCCTCCATCCACTTTTTTGGGTTTATCTGTGAATTTAGAAGTAGCACGTGCGGACGTAATGCTTTACAGTGCCTGGAAGCTTCGGCCAGTAGTACTTTTGTTGGATTCTGGCCAATGTGCGCGTGTATCCGAGGTGGCCGGAGGTTGGCTCATCGTGGCAAGCGCTCAGGATCTCATCGCGAATGGATGTCGGGACGACAAGTGGGCATTTCCGCTGGGGGCAAATTTCTTCTTGTATAGGACACCACTGCGCAAGCAGAATGATGGCAGGCTCCTTGCAAATATCTTGGGAACGCTTGTAGACTGGCCGTTAAGAAAATTAATAAGAGGGAGCAACTCACTGTCTTCTTTCTGCTTAGACGAAATGGTGACCCTGTCGACCACTCCTAAAAATGCCATGTCATCATCTTCTGAGACATCATCTTGCTTATAGGCGACCTGGATAAGCAATCAGCATCAGAGTGCTGTCGTCCCGACTTATAGACGACCGTCATATCGAATTCTTGTAGGTGTAAGCTCCAGCGCGCTAGCCGACCGGATGGGTCCTTCAAGTTGGTCAGCCAGCAAAGAGAGTGGTGGTCGCTGACTACATGGAAGGGACGGCCGTAGAGGTATGGGCGAAACTTCAGAACTGCCCATACTACAGCAAGACATTTCTTTTCCGTTGTGGAATAATGGGACTCGGCACGGGAAAGCGTCCTACTTGCATATGCAATCACTCTCTCGGCTGAGTCTTGCCACTGGACGAGTACAGCGCCTAAACCTACGTTGCTGGCATCAGGTGGATCATGGTTGGAGCGTCCTCGTCAAAGTGAGCAAGCACAGGGGGTGTCTGCAGGCGCTGTCGTAGACCGTCAAATGCTGCTTGTTCCTCTTCGCCCCATAAAATGGAACATCGTCTCTCGTTATGCGTGTTAAGGACGACGCTATGTGCGAGAAATTGGCGATAAATCTGCGGTAGTAGGCGCAAAGGCCAAGAAAACGTCTTACGGCCTTCTTTCGGTTGGCACCGGAATTTTCGGACGGCGTCGATCTTGTCGGGGTCGGACGAACACCTTCATGGCTCACCACATGTCCTAAGAATCGGAGTTCCTTGAAACCGAAATGACATTCTCAGGTTTCAGCGATAAGCCAGCGGACCGTATTGCTCGAATACTAATAGCAGCCGCTTAGATGTTCCCTCGAATGTTGGTGAGAAAACAATGACGTCGTCGAGGTATACCAGACACGTCTGCCATTAAGGCCTGATAGGACGGTATCCATCAGTCTCTGAAATGTTGCTGGGCTTGAGCACAATCCGAAGGGCAAGACTTTAAACTAGTAAAGCCCGTCAGGCGTAACAAAAGCAGTCTTTTCTCTGTCCCGCTCATCGACCTCGATTTGCCAATAACCGCTTTTCAGGTCCATCGACGAGAAGAAGCGTGCATTCCTCAGCCTGTCAAGTGAATCGTCAATACGCGGTAGTGGGTATACGTCTTTCTTTGTCACGCGGTTCAGCTTGCGGTGATCCACACAGAAGCGTAAGCTGCCGTCTTTCTTCTTAACTAGCACTACCGGTGATGCCCAAGGGCTTTTTGACGGCTGAATGATGTCATCATTGAGCATTTTCTGGACTTGTTCTTGGATTGCTTCACATTCTTTCGGTGCCACGCGGTATGGGTTTTGTCGAATTGGTCTTGCCGTCTCTTCCGTTATAATTCAGTGCTTTGTCAGTGGCGTTTGATTTACTCTCGAGGTCGACGAAAAACAATCTTCAAACTGGCCGAGAATATCTAGAAGACTCTGCCTCTGCGCTGGCAATAAATCTGTGCTCACGTCGACAGGCAGTGGTGTTGAAGCGGCCGGCGTCTCTGCCTGTTGTACTGCGAAGCACTCGCGGAATTCTACAATTTCTTCGAAGTATGCAACTGCGGTACCCTCTGCAATGTGTCGACGCTCGTTGCTGAAGTTTGTCAACAGGACCTCTGCTTGCCCAGACACTACACTGACGATACTTCTGGCAATAGCGATTCCTCGAGAAAGTAAAAGCGTCGATATTTGTTCCGCGAAACCTCTCCACTATGCTGCGTGTTACACGTGACAGAGACGAGGCGGCATGACAACGGTGGCATGGTCTCGTCGTCAATCACGCGCATGGGCTTGCGCTGCAGCGCTGCGCTATGGTCCGCTGAGAAGGTCAGTACACCGTCTGGTATATTTATAATGGCACCGTACTCCCGCAGAAAATCCATACCCAAGATGGCCTGTTTACAACAATCAGAAAGAATAACGAAGGTTGCCACGAATGATGAATCCCCGATCTTGATTCGTGCGGTGCACTTTCCGGTAGGTGTCAGCAGCTGGCCTCCGGCTCCTCGAATTTGCGGCCCCGTCCATTCCATTTTTACCTTCTTGAGTTGGTCGGCCAGATTCGCACTCATTATTGAAAAGTCTGCACCAGTGTCGACCAGTGCGGTCACGTCGTGACCGTCAATTGAAAGTGTAATGTCGGCGGTGACAATCTCGTCTTTCGTCGGTTCATTCGAAATGTGTGGCACTTCATGCGGCGGCAATGGGGGATTTTGAAATCTTCGGCAATTCGCAACCTTCCCCCCTAAGGTCGCTGCTTTTAGTTTCCCCGGCGTGGACTGGGAGACCTTCCTCTCGCCATGTCCGTGGTGCTACCTCTATTAGATCGGGGAAAATGACCTGGGGAGGGCGAGCGTGACCGGAACCCAGGAGAAACGTCTCGCGGGAACGTCGCGCTCGTTTCAACGTTGCGTCTTCCGTCGAAATAGCGCCGAGGGGTAGTGGACG